ATACTCCTACTCCCAGGAGAACTGAGAAGCCATGCACTTTGTGTATTCATATAAAGGAGTAAAAACAAAATGACCAACAAAAACAATGAATTTTAAAGATCATCCAAAACAAACAATTACTTAAAACTCTCCAAATGATTTGGTTCCTACATCGCTAATTCTCAGATTGAATGCAAAAATTCTGAAATGGCCAGAATTGCCAGTTAGCAAGGTAAATAAATTTTAGCATATATAATGTTATCATTATATTCTTAGCTCCATTTACCAGTGTACTACACACTATTTCAGTTTCAAAGGAGCAAATCTGCAGCCCTCAGCAAATCTATAGGCCTCTTCTTAAAATTTCATGATTTCAAATGTTTGTGTGCTGTCTTAAGATTTCTAACCCACAGATTATTATTGCAGTGCTTCAGTTTAACAATTATTTTGCCTTCTAAAGTACCATGAGAACATATGGCTGCTGTGACAGAACCAATTCTGCCTGCTAGAAATAAAGCAAGTGACACAGAAGTCACTGAAACATTTCCCACCTCGAAGGCAAAACACGTGGGAGGAAAGGTTTACCTAACATCCAATCTGGCATTATTTCCAAAATCTCTGTTTAAGAAAGTTGCCTGCAAACCACTGGAGAGATATTAGAAATACTCACATGAGAATCGTGCATGAATGAAAAAGACCTACTGAAATTCTGTTTCTGAACTAAAGTTCGTATCACTTTGTTTCAACACACATCTACTCTGCAACCACTGAAACGTCAATGCCATGCACTGCACTGCTGTCTCTCTCAGCACATTCTTAGTGCATGACACTTGAAACGAACATGTGTGAAATCTGTACCAGAAAACTCATCTGCCACACATCTCTTGTAAATCAAGGATATCTGCAGTTGCTTCTTATGTTCTTTAAAAAATAAAAGAAAAACCTGATGACAGGACACTAGATAAGAAGAATATTTGATCTGATTTAAATTTTTTAATTGCTTACTCAGCTATTTTAATAATTGATATCATCAGTTATAGCTGTAACCAGTAACTGAAAATAGTTTGCTCTCTGATGTTTGATGTTTTTCAGTCTTCCCACTGCCTCATCAGGCAATGTTTATTTATTTTGTGCAAATCCTCCACAGCATGTTCAGCTTGACAGCAATCAGAATCAAACCTCCTCTGCTGCAATTTCCTTCTAAATCAAATCTTTTCACTGCAACTCCTGGCTCAACCTAGCAGTTCTCGGGGTCCATTTAGACTTTATCATCCAATCTTTCTGTGCTTTTGCAGTCAAGTCTTCAGAATTCCATTATATGATTACTGGTTTTGACTTGTTTGGAAGTTAGTAATAACTTCCCCTCGTTGTAATTCCATTCAGAGCGTTTCTATCCACTCATATACTGCCCATTAACATTGCTCTTGCATTATGGAAGCAAACTGTGACTAGAATAGGAGGCTCCATTAACAGCCCTATTCTTAAATTTAGCACCTCGTCTCTTTCCAGTGACAGCTTTTTGAGGGTAAGTCGTATTATCTCACATGATTCTTCACATACATCACATCCTTCTGTTCCACACAGGGAATCCTTATAGCATTGCATCCAGGCAGCCACTGAGCTTCCCATGGCAGTGGTGTGTGGCTGATTTATTCAAAAAGTAAATAAATACCTGCTGTGGATCTTCCTCCTTGCCAAAACTAGCGTGCAGTCTTATTAACTTTCTTCAACTCTATCAACTAATCTTATTTCATAGCCTATGATTGTTTACTCTGTTCTTTTAAAAGAAGGAATTCCAATCATTTAAAAGTTCTACGCTACTATTTCTTAAATAAAATTAAATGCAAGCACACAGAAATTCAAAAACATAATCAGATAAACATAAATATCTCTTATCAAATTTTAATCTCTTTCAATGTGCTTAAATGTTAAAATGCAAACAGTATGAAAATGTTGATTCTGTATATGAAGCAAACAGACTAAAACAAAAAGACATGACATCAATCTGCCAGTTTCCAACATAACAGCTATGTTTTTCACTTAGAATAACCACTCTCAGAAGAGTACTATGTATCACAGATTCTCTCAGTTTTCATTGGTACATTATCTCAATTTCTCCAGGGAAATTATCTGTGAACAACATATAGTTCTGCCCTTGGAATCATCAAACTGACATTTGACAAAACTGCAGAAGGCTTGTAAGTTAAATTTAAAGCTCTGTTAAACCTTGCCTTGCACATCTAATGGAGCTTTAGTTTTCCACAGAAGGCCAACATTAGAAGCCAGTGGGAAAATTTCCAGCACAATACCATCTCCTGTTTATCTACAGGCAGAAAAGTGTGAGGAGTACACAACTTGCTGTAAACTAAATGAAAAAAAAAGTCATTTGATTGATTTTTGTGTTGAGATTTTCTTATAGCATAAGTAGATTTTTATATTAAAATACATACACTATTTTATGTCAATGTATTTTATCTTCTTTGCAAGCAGTATCAATAGCTCATCAAGTTATAAAAGAGCTACAGCATTTTTCTAACCTTTCCAATCATTAATAAAATGACAGTTAAGAATATGCTGATTATCAGAAATTAAAGAGATTAATAAATCTATTAAAATTAAGTTTTGACCTTAACAGTGTTTCAAGCTGCAACAGTTTAAGACTTCACTGCAATACTACAGTAAATTTTAATCATATACTACCACATATGAATGACTACAGGGATGGAAATTGGCAGGATTTGCTTCAGAAAGGTCAGTTGTTTTTTTAAGTCAATAAAATATCACAAAAATTGCACCTCCCAGTGCTGAACAAAGGTTTCTGCATACCAATCATTGAATTCAGGTGAAATCAATCATAATGTCAACTGCCTAACACAATAACTTTCTTTAAACTCCTTTGGGATAGGGAGATTTTCAATAAAGTTTTCAATATGTACTGACAGAAGTGCCATAGTAGTCATTTAGCCAGCACCTTCATCATAGCCAGAACTAGAGTAAATTCATCTAATTGTTTTCTGGCAGAAATAAAGATGCTGAAAAACTGTTTCAGTATTTTTATAATTTAGGTGCAATAAGGTTTATTCAAACATGTTAAAGTGCTCTTGTAGTGAAGCACAATAAAGTGTTCATCCTATTCATTATTGCAACAGATAGGACTCAAATTTCAGAAACAGAACTTTCCAGTAAGAAAGTAAGTTGCCATTGCAATACGCACTAAAGCACACCACGAAAAATAGTCTCATCAGTGTTTTAATTATGAGCCATCTTTGGCCGTATGGTTCAAAAACATTCACATCAGACACATCAGAAAAGATTCTGAATTGGGAAACATGGACCGTACTCGGTTTTGAGATCAAGATATAGAAACTCCTAACTGTTGAGCTCCACTTCTATACAAACAGAGAACAATGCAAAATGTATGTATTTCCATAAAAGATCTGTAAACTTCAGATCTAAACACACTATAAAGACATGTTGGAGATTTGCCAAGATTCCAGACAAATGTGCTGCATGGCAACACAATGTGTGGAATTGTGGCAATAAATGCAAAACTTTGGTACCTGAGATCTACCTGGAAGGTCTTTGCAGCATACATCCTTACTCATATTCTAACCCAACTGATCTGTGAAAAAGTACACACCTCCTACTTCAAAAATGATTGAAAATCAGGTTTGTTTGTCCTCAAGGAGAGCAACTTCAGTAAAGAAAACAAGACTTATCTATACCTTAGCCATGTCATATTTTGATATCAATAAACAAAATCAGACCATTAACATTTATCGTTAAGAACCTATGCTATGTACAGTAGCAGCAACAACAAAATATTTTCATTCTTTAGATTGCAGCTAAGAAAATAAAAATACATTCAGCCTCTGATTCATTATTTGATATGCTCATTATTTCAAATGTTTGAAGCCTGGTTTTAAGCTTTCTTAGTACTCAGATCATTATGACATTGCTTCAGTGTGGCACCTATTTTGCCTCCAAAAGCATCAGTAGAGGGTAATAGTTGTCCCTGCAGAACCAGCAATTTTGTCTGGTAGAAATAATTAATCACAAAAATCCCTTAAACAACATTCATCTTCTCTCAAATTGAAAAACAAATCATATTTTGATATTTTAAAAAATCATTTTTAATAGATCAGATCTGAATTTCTCAAGATCTCATGACAGCTCTTGAAGTACTGTTTAAATTAGTGAGCAACATTTCAGGGGTGCACTGTATTGTGGAAGAACTCTGCATAATGTGGGAAAGGAGTGGTAAAGCAGACAAGACCGAACTCAACAGAAAGACTTTGCAGGAGATGACCTGTTCAGGACTTGAGAACATTACCAAATTCTTTAAAATTCCTCAAAAATAGTGCAGGAGCAAAAATGCCAATGAAACTTATCTAGAACACTGAAGAAAATAAAGCTTGTATCTGACAAGAACATGAGGCATATAAAAACAGTATACAAAATGTTCACATATACACACATTCATTGCAATTATGTACTCATCCAGAATCTGGCCAAAACAAATAGCTAAATGTTTCTGAATCAGCAGCCAAACCACCCCAAACTCTCATATGATGTTTGCATTAATAGTTTAATAGTTTAAGTGATGACAGCAAAATATGTCTCTAATTGTAAGCATATATCTCTCTGCATAGTATTGTTATTACTCAATTATTTCTTGTTAGGTTACCTATCAAAAAGTTACTCCCAATGTTGAACTCCTAAATAAAAATAATAAAAGTAGAAGAAGAAAAAACTCTTTACACAACATACAAATTAGATATGTTGTTAATAAATGCATTTTTCTTACAAGCTTTTGGCAAAAGCATTCATTTACTGTGAAGTTTCTGATCTAGATGTGGAATGACCAAAAACTTCATAACAGTGCAAAGCATGAAAAACAAAAAACAAAAAATTCAAACAAAGGTTACTAATGTGGTATCAAAATGACCAAATAAACTGAGCATCAATGAAAACCTTGGTTGTGGAAGGAGCAATCAAATAGGAGAGCAGAAAATACTGACCTGGAAGTCAAGCTGGTTGGAGTAGGGATGAAAGCAGCAGTTTGGAGAAAAACAGATAGGGAGAGAGACAGCAAAAGAGAATATAGGGAGGAACACATTAGTTCTTTAAAAATATAACAAGATGTTATATTAGCAGATTTTATTTAAAAGAAAAAAAAAATAAAAAAAGGAAAGGAAAAGGAAAGCAAAAAGAAAAGTAAAATAAATTTTCTGTACAGCACATGCTTGCTGTATACTCAGCACAACAGATATTTTAAAGCAAATGGCACCTTGTCATTTCTGGACTGTCAAACACAGTCCACAAATATCCGTATTTATAAGCACCCTAATGTATACACGCACCATCATGTAGCAAACAAATTAGCTCTTCATTGGTAAACGTTTCATCATATATCATGAAGCCTTTTTTGAGCCAAGAGGAGTTTGATGACCTACATTCATCACATCTACTTATAAAAGGCATAACAGCGAAACAATCTGGCAGCTTCTTCAAAGATCTTATTGAGGTCACAAAGTGCAGTACCTAAAAAGTGATCTGAGATGATGGCTGCCCAAGCTCTGTCACTGCTCCACGGATGACTAAAACTAAAAGACCACTGCATCCTACACTGAGTGTTGCTGTTTGATAGGTAGTCTGGCCTTTCTGGTAAGGGTACTCAAAGCAATTGTAGGCAAGGTGTGCTTAAATATGATCCTGTTTGAGAAAGCAATTATTAATCCAGTTCTTTCCTTCCTCACACAATACTTTTCTACACAGAATTTATCATCCCATACGATGCTTTTTTAAAATAAAGTCCAGAGAACAGCCTGGAATTTTATTTACAGCATTGTGTTCTATGAGCAAAGGCAGCCTCTTCAGTTGTTTTTCATCCATGTGCCCATAGAACATTGTTTTGTTTCCTCCCAATCCTTCGGACTGGGCACAATGCAGACCCAGAGGAGATACCTGCATTTCTTGCATTCTCAGAGCACTCATTTATTACACTTGTCCCCTAAGAAATTACATTTAATATAAGTAGCACATTTGGATAGATATCTACTTTGCATAGATATCTGTGGAATGTTAAATAAGGTAAAGTTAACAGAGACATGTCATGCACACAGGTTGCTAACAGCATGCTACTCTTGCAAGAGCACAAGACTATCATAAATATGCTGGTTCAGAGGACTGAAATCATGTGTGCAGTTGCAGGCCATATATTATAATCTGATTCATACATGTATCAAGTTGCACCTTAAAACCAGTTAGGTTTCTCATTCCCTTTGATTTATTTAGAAAGCTGTTTCAGAGCCTTCCTTCCTCTGAGAATTAGAAGATGTGTTTTCCCTTCATTTTTTCAATTCTAAACTTATTAATGGATTCTTTATTTTCAATGAATTTTACTCTTCTTTTATTTAAATCATTCCTTTATCACTGCAGCTTTTACCTCTTCGTATTTATTTGTAGAGAGCACACATCCTTAATGAACCTTTGTTTTGCTACAGAAACAACATTTGAGTTTAGACCCCCTGTGACACAAGCACTCCATTCGCCTAACTATCCCATGAGCCCTCAGCTGCACCTGTTTCCAGTTTGAATTTAACCTTCCGGAATGTGACTGATGGCAGGTATTCAGCAGTCTTCCATATGGGGTCTTGCTAGTGCTCAATGACATTAATACTTTCCTATCATTATTGCAAACATTTGCTCTGACATACCAGGATTTACACCTCATTGTTTAGATGTCTGCTTCATTATTTAGATGGCTCACAACAACACTGCCAGAAGCAAATTTATTCAATCTTTCTCTTCCTAAACTGCATCAAGTATTATCCTTATTTTACAGTGAGCAATTTTACTGGTCATAACTTCAGTCAGGCATATTATACTATTACATTTCACTTAAATTCATTTCCTTATTTAAACTCCCCAGTACATGTCATAAACAATAATACCTTTCATTCTACCATTGCTAATAAAGCATTAAACAATACACACATTCCATCTTGACTGTTCCTTGTCAGTTGCAGTTATCTTGTTTTGGCTAGACCCTTTGCATTAACATTTAAGTTAATCACTATCTTGCTTGGTTTTATTTACATTATGCAAAAAAAATATACCACATTTCCTTAATAAATGAAACCAAAGAAAGACAACATGCTAAGTTTACTAAAAGTACATTAATCCATAATATACTGCATTTTATTTTAATCTAGTCTCATTATAAGCAAATAAATGATGAAAGATGTAATAGAAGATATCAAGGAAGTGGCTATTGTTGGAGCAAGGTTCTACGTAGTAATGGTAAGTTATGAAAACACAAAATATGTTTGTATATACGTAGTAGTTGGGAAAACAGACCAACAAGCTTGTACGTATGAAGAACAGCATGAATCATGAATCTTAAGTGATGGAACTCAGAAGTGTGATAGTTTCTGAGTTCAAAAGTCATGTTAAAACCAAGAGAATTTCCATAAGGATAAAATCTTCTTCAGTATTATTAATAATGTTCACTTGACAAATAGCATTATAAATTTAATTCCCCACATATTGAAGGAGATATTTCTGCTTTTCAGTATCTGACACTCATACATGTTCAACTTTTCTGTTTAAAAGTAATTGATCTTGTTTTCATTCCTATTTGTAAATGATAACATCATCAGAAACATATTTCTATTTTTCAGATGAACTGAATTTATGAGCACGCCACAATGCTAATGAATTTATGAGCGGATACATCAAATATTGAGAAGATATCATTTGAAGTACTCTAGATTACAGTTCTCTTGGGAGTTTATGTTTATAAATATCAAGAATTTATGTTGCAATTATGTTGAAATCTGAAGATATAGCATAGTAGTGAACATGGATTCCAGCAAGCCATCAATCAACAAATATGTTACAGAAGAAAATTAATTTTCCTACAGAACACCAGACAAGTCTTGCATATGAAATTAGGAGAAATGTTGAAGATATGATGTTCCTGAGAATGAAAACAGAGAAAGAGGAAAAAACTAGCAACACACGAGTTATTTGAATTAAAAAACAGCATGACAAGGAGAAGTGAACGTTTTTAAAATATGCTTCTGTTCAAGTGGCAGTCATTTTCACAATACCTTATTCCCATAAAGGGAGTAAACTGAGCTCTGGCTCCGCCTTTTCCCTTCAATAATGAGCCAAGCATGTAGTCCGCACAAGCAGAAAAAATAGTAGCACACTTCATAAAATGTTATAGTAATTTACACTCTACCTAGCCCCCTACAATGGGAATTTAGCATCAAAGTTCCCTTTCTAGGGATGCCAACAGGTGGCACAGCTATATATAGAGTTAGATCTTCGGCCAATATTTAATCAAAACTGAGGAAGAGGGAGGGAACAGAATTTAAACTGTAGAGAAACTCAAGTGACCCTGATTACTACAAGCAGTTATGCCCACTATCTAAAAAGTATTTCCCTATGACACCTCTATACTGGTGGCAGTTTGCTAGGCTTGCTGTACCAGTCAACCATTTTGTGCTTACGCACACACTGGAAAGTAGCAATAAAGATTTAACTTCTGTTGTTGCAATCAACAATAAATAATTTCTATGTTCATCATTTTTCTGTTTTACAATAATATGTAGTCTAAGAATTTAGAATTAATCTTGGGAGCTGTTCTATAATTTAAATCAAATGAGAAAGTGATTTCCAATTAATAGACCTCACAAGGAAATCTTAAAGCATAAAATATAACAATATACTTCCTTCTTTGGCTCATCATATCAAAGATATCTTATTGTAAGCATTAGAGAAGCACTTAAAGGTTCATAGCAAAGCTTAACTTCTTGATCGTATTCCAGATGCTGCATAACCTCTTGAGAAAGTATGTGCTTACTCAGTGGCACCAAATTTCTCTGTAAAAAAGTAGTTCAGTATTGACCCTGATCTATAATACAAAACTTGCATCCCAAAATGCCACTGTTGAAAGTGCTATCGAAGAAAGAGAGAAGAGAAGGAAGTTACAGAACCCATTGCAGGTTTCTCAGACAGTAAGAGGTGGCACACTAACAAAGCCATAGTAATAGTAGTCCCCATGTTTCTTTTTAATCAGTGGATAATTCTAAATTTAATTCAGATAAAAGCATGAATTGCCATGGATTCTTTATCTCTTAAATAATAATAATAATAATAATAATATTTACTAAAAAAATAGATCATAAATTTCATTGCTTCATTATGTTGATTATTTAATCTCAACTACCACTTTAATATTCAACCATTTAGCAAATATGTGATTGCTACTTAATAAATCTCTTAAGATTATTTTCTTGGAATAAAGTTTAGCATGCCTACTATTGCATCTAGTGTCACATAATAATTCAGAATGTTTTAGAGCCCAGTGTGGGTATCAGTTACTGCTCCTGTAAAGAATACACTATCCATCTCCACCAGCTTGCTCCCACTTGGTCTCACTACGTTAGAAATCTAGCTGTGCAATTGCCCCTACACAAGTACATGCAGCAGTGAATGAAATAATCAGAAAATTCATGCCCACATAGGTTCATTAATTGTGTTATATTTTTCTAATATGGTGTTTTAGGATATTGGAGAATTTAGGCACAACTCGTTCATTGTGCATAAGTGACAATTCCTCTTAAATAGCTTTCTCCATCATATACTTTACAAATTAAAATCCATGCAAATACTGGAGCATTCTAAAACCCCTCCTGATATGGTGAGAGAGGTAAGTGCTAACTAAAGCCATCGTCATGTAAACAATCAGCTACATTTCAAGCACAAATCTTCACCTTAAATTTGAGGTCTTAATTCTCATGACAAATTGATTAATAGTTGTATTCCATTCTTTTTATTATTATTACAACAAATCTCTGCCAAATTCTGTAGAGAAAAATGAGTTCTGGCAACAGAACTGTGAAGGCTGATAAGTCATCATCAGTAAGAGATATTCTATGCAGCTTCGTAAACAATATTTCCAACAGATCTTTCCAGGTATCATGACAATTCTCTCTAACATGACAGAGTTATGCTATGTCCTGACTGGAACAACAGCAATAATCATGAGATTCCTTAAATCTCCTATTTTGCATCAAGAAGCCCTGTTCTTCCTATCTAATCACTAGACTAGCAACTAGTTAATCAGTAAAATGTTCAAAAATATGCAAGTTCTTCTTCAATTTACCTAACAGTGTCTAAGAGTACTAAGAAAGCCTAAGAAAGGGAACAAGAAATCAGAGACACAGAAATTTCTCGTCAGTCAAACAACTTGCCAGTTATTCTATGTGAGAATCTTCCAACAGTTATTTAATTCCAAATGCACAAGACAAATTGAGCTCTGAAGTCTCCTGCCACCACTAAGGAATAACTGTATAACTGTCCCAGAAATAAGAAAACAAACACCTGGTCAACAAGAGAAAAAAAACGACCAGAGAGCCACTGAGAAATACGAACAGCCAGGAGCAGAAATACTTACCAATGCTTTTTAGTACATCTGAGAACTAGCAATTCTTTTCACACTGAAGAAACATTTGTGTGGACAGCTTTGATTTACCTATTACTAGAAAGAAAAGGCTGTTCCCCTAACATGGTTTTCCAGGATGACTGTCACTGTAAATTTCCTATATACGTTCCTTTTATGGAGACCACAAAATAGTGACAACTTTAAATCATTCCAAACCAGCAGACAGATGTGATTTTCAAGTATCAAAATCTTTTTCATTTCTCATACTGTTTTACAAGATATCACAAAATTCTGTTATTAGAAAAACCTGCACATTCTATCATCAACTTCTCTCATTGGTAGTGGAGACCAAGAAAATAAAAATGCCACTCAATGGTAGACAAATAATACAAGAATTACCTTTCTAACTCAGCAATTTTCTTATCTTTGTCATTCTTCTCATTCTCTACTTCCTTGAGAATTTCTAGAAGTCTGTCAACCTCGGCCTGAGCTTTGCCGCATTCTTCTCTATAGTATGATGCCTCCTTGTCAAGCTGTTTCATTCTGTCTGCAAATTCTGGATTCATCCGTGCCTCCTCTTCAGCCTCATGAGCCTTCAGAATCAATATTTAAAAAGAGAAAGAAAAAAAAAAAAGGACGACAATAACTTAAGTCATTGTAAGAGTTCTCATTTTCAGTCTTGGAGTTTAGTTTTCATTAAAAAGGATTATGGGTATTTCTGTCAGATAACATTTTTCTACATAAGCCTTATAAAAAGGAACTCGAAGCTCCCTGCAGTCTAAAATTACTTTTAAATTCTATCTTAACAAGGCTTCATCCTGAAAGGGAGGTTAGTTATTAAACAGAATGTTTGGGTGTTTTACTTATCAACATGACCATACTTTGAGGGTCGGGCTTTTTACTTTAAAAAAAAAACAAAAAAAACCTGTCAATTACTTGAATCACTTTAAGTCTTTCAAATATGATCTCTTTCTCCGTACATATACACTTCATCCATGCGTATGTACAGAAATATATGTACACATTGTAATCTGTGGCACTGTGTCACCAGATGTTTCAAACACAGTTTAATACTAATAATCTAAAAGGAAGAAATTTATTGTAAGTGGTGCTGTCTATAAAAGACAAATTGATAAACTATGAGGTTTCTTTTATCTGACTTTTTATCCAGTAATCCTTTTTTTCTTTCCCCATCATTAATACTTAACCTGAAACATCAGAAGAACAAGCTTATTGGTGAAAATGGCACAAACCTGGCAAACACATGCATGGATGGGTGGCAGTTTCACAGACAAGAACAAACGAAATGAATACAACACTGCAGAGTCCGATCTTACTCCCATCAAACCTAATGGCAAAAACCCAATTAAACTTCAATGGGAGCATGATCAGGCACATCAAGTGCTTTAAACTCTTGACTGGAATAATCACAGACAGATGGAAAAACAACAATGCACTGCAATGCTTAGCCTACCCCTTGCTTCCCATTATTCCTAATTGGCATCTTGAAAGAGCAGGCAAGGAAAAAACAAGTAGTTTAATGCAGTGCACACTAAACATAGAAAATTCAGATAACATTTTTTTTATAAGAGAATTTTACAGAAACTCAGGGCATTTTAGAACTGAAAGACCTCCAACTATCTTATTACTCATCGAAGATGTGGATGTAATTATCTTCTTAATTTCAGACAACAGACTATGCAAGCAAGCAAGGGAAGAAATGCAAATCAAAATTGAACGTGCATGTTTTAGAAAGAATCAATATAAACTACAACTATTACAAGATTCACATTCTTTGCAATGGCTAGAATTTTTTGTATAAAGAAAGAACAGGTCTGGCTTTAATATATCAGAAAAATGAAAATAGTGAGAAGAAACTTAGGAGTTTTGCATGTAACATATCATTTAAGCATGAGGATAATAAGAGAAGGATTTTACATTTTAACCTCACTGTAAGATTCTTATTCAGAATAAATATTTAGTTAGCAAAGTATGTCAACAGAAAGACCATGAGACTCCTACAAAACTTACTGGCCTTGCTCTTCAAATGTTCTGTTTGGGATAACAATTACATGCTCCAGCCCTGAATTCTGTGAAGATTCCAGAGTTTCTTAATACAGAGATCATTTCAAGGTAATATCCATAGAGTATTTCAATTTTACTGTTTGGGTGAGGGCAACAGTTTCTTTCCTACCCTCGTACATCTTCCCGCTTAATAATGACCTTTGGCTTATCTTATGCTGACTCTTCCTGTTTCTTTCAATGTATCACTCTCTTATTTGATGGCCTTGGGTCCATCATTTCATAAACATGCAGAACATCCACCTTTCTGCCTCTAGCATTTCTTTTCTTCACTTTAGCATACAAGAACAGTTAGCAGCAGCCCAACGTTTTGCCCACGTGCCTCCAAACAAGCTTCATTCCAAGACAGAAGCAATATAGAATAGATAGAAAAGCCTCTCTTTTTATTTATGTATTTATTTTTTTAATAACTATTTGTTGCCCCACTGGACTTTGGATGATGACAGTATATAATTAGGCAAAAATGATATAACATTTCGCATTGGTGACATTATCAAAAACGATAATGTCACCAATGCAAAAGTGTCAAATGTTCAACTGTGATACAAAATTCCTGTCACACAGCAGCTCCAAAATGTACTGAATAAATTGTCAACTGCATACCTCATAACTAAAATGAAACCTGATAAACATATAAATTATATTCTGTTAAGTCTTGCCTAATAATGTGCTAGGGAAATAAATAATAAGTTGCAGAAATATTTTCAATTCTTATGCTTTCACTGGTGCTTAAAGCATTCCATATTTGTTGGACAGCAAGAACATCAAACATTATTGAAAAGGACCCTTCCCTTAAAGGAAACCCTTGTGATGCTGACAAAGAGCAGAGAACAAAATACAATTAATCTGACATTACCAGAATAAAGGAATAGAGCTACTTACAAAGATCCCAAACATAGTTTACTTGCAAGACACTGTTCCCAAACCCAGCAGGGCAGATTCCTTTGCCTATTTTGCAAACTAAGTGTGAGAGAAGGGCTTGGATCGTTCTTAATCATGCACAGTTATCACATACATTAGTAAATCTCCACTTCTAGCTGTTCTCCTCTCTATCCTTTTTCCATTTTTGTCCCCAGTTTTCTCCTGGCACTGTTTTCTTGGGAGAATACCTTTTGTTTTTATGAGGAAGAGTAATTGGTATTGTGGGCACCTTTCGGCAGCAGAGCATTTGATCTCTCTATCTGTGTGATAATGCTCCTGTGTGCAGAGTAGGCATAGGAAGTGCAATCCTGAGTTTCAAATTAGCACACTAAATTTAAGGTGTTTTTTCTGTCAGCATTGTGACTGTGTTGTATATTATTTTTATCAAATTGATAAAAATAAGTAATCACTAATAATTTCGCTGATTGTTACAGTAATCAAATACTTTAAAAGTAAAGAAACAGTTCTGTATGTAAACAACAAATTTCCTACAGAAACACCATAGCACTTTGTCACAAACATGTAACATGAATATTATAATTTTATGGTGCAACCATGCATGCATTATTCTGCGTAACAGAAATGGATGGACAGATACTGCATTTTATTTTAGATAGTCAGACACAGGCATACACAGAAATCAACTGGGTTATTAAATTAAAAAAAAAATTACATGCAAGAAATTACTTTGTCAGATCCTTCAAATTTTATTACTTTCAGTAATGAGCTAAAAATAATTAGTCACTTTTTTCAACTTTTTTTTTATTTTTTAGTCTGCTTAAAATTTCAGTATTTTTATATTCAACTTCTGGGCACACTGAAGGAATTTGAAGCAGATTCTGCAAGTACTTAAACTTTTGATATGATATTGCTTTCATGAAGCGTATGGAAAAATAAGTCTTTACTATTGAGAGGAAAGTTTATTAGGAACAGGCATAAATGCCATCACACACACACACACACACACACACACACAAAAAAAAAAAAAAAAAAAAAAGGAAAAGAAGAGATGAAATCTTAGACTTGTAGATTTCAAAGAAAATGATGTTGCCGTTGACTTCAGTGAAGTCACAACTCCATTTGGGGGTGCTAGGTGCTTTTAAGGGATAAACGGATCATTATTACTTACACTGCTAAAAGTAGGCTGTTACATATGCATAAGAATTCAGAAGAGAGATAAGAAAAAATTATTGAGGGAAACCAGCTTCAAGGATATACTAAAATTGTTCACTAGTACTACAGGAAACGGAGAACCAGGAAGGAAAAAAAATTAAAACTGGCTGACTTGGAATCACACAAATAGACTAGAAAATATCAAAAGATCCATACAGCAGAGTAACAAATACTGAAATAACAACTGGAATAAATATGCAAACCAACAGAATATCCAACACAAAATAGACTTCAGTCCAAAAAGACATGCACAAGAGTGCAAGTGATTTGAACAGGAACATAAATATGACAGATGCTATCTATGATACATAAAAGAAGGGTTCTGTCCTCCAAAGGGAAAAGGTCTGACCACCTGTGTGCTGGATGGTAGAGGAGGTAATATAAGGTGTTATACTACTTACAATCGATTTATGACTGGATTCAAAACACTGTTAGATGATAACTGCAAGAGAAACTACGAGATATTTTGTGGGACTCTTCTCCTATATGTAAGTCGTGGCATATCTAATGCATGGTTATAAGCTACAAAATTTAGCTGTAGTAGACTCCAAAGCTGGACTCCCAGTCCACCAACATTAACAGTAATATTCCCACTAACTTCAGTGAAGGCAATATCTTTTTTAATGCAGATTATCATATGATTTAACAAGCTAAAAAAAAGAAAAAGTTCTCATATATGTACTATCCCAAATATATGATCATTCCAAAAAGGATTACTATTTAAACTTTTCTTGTTAATTGCTATTACAATCCAGTTGCATCATTATTTCTGTCCTGTGATGCTGGATGCATTAATAGTCTCAACCAAAAAATAGGAAGTGCTCTCTACAGAGAAAATATTTGGTTACTGCTCTTCATCAAACAGAAAAGGGAACACAAGGAAGTCAAAAGGATAGATACTGAGCAACTAAAGGAGGCTTTAGCAAGAATAATAATGCTTAGCAAGCCGAAGTAATGTTATTTGGCTTGTCAAGCACTGCTGCTTATGTTCATCATCATATATTTCAGCAATTTCTTGGGTTAAATATGTTTCTATATTCTTAATTGCATACGCTGAATGAACACAGTCTTGCATGAGTAAAACTGACATGAACTATTTTAGCCATTCTGATTTTAAAAATACTAGCAGTTAGTTCCTAGATATTATTATTTGCCTAATCAATTCAGTCAGTTAAGGCAAACTAAATAAATTAGAAGTTATTTAAGTTTGAAGGATCCAATAAAGTACTCGAGATGGAGGAAGTGAAAAGCAAAGAAAACCAAATAAAACAAAGTTAACTGCATGCTTCTCTAACGTAGAAGTTGAGGACCTAAAGGCTAGGATGTTCGGATTTTTTAAGAAATATTATATGCATTTTTTAATATATTTCATGGCCTTGAAGTCCACAAAGCTCATTTATTTGGATATAACAGATATAGCACAGTGACCATTGGAAGTATTCTGCAAGGCTTCACAGAGGAAGAGCACAACACAGTAAGGTAATGGATCCTCATGCTTTATATGTTACAGAGGACATCTTAAAAAGAACTTACAGGATTGTACATCTGATTGAACAACTGTTCAGCTTGCTACATTGCAAAGTTGGAAGGGAGTGAAGCACAGACAGGAAAAGAAGGAAAGATCCAGGAAAACAGCATTAGCTCAACAAAACCAGTGCATTTGCACAGAAGACCTTGTAATAGAAAAGTAGAAATTTAAGATTCTAAACATTCCTTGGTGAAAGTGAGAGGCACTGGGGAACCATAAATGTTGACTTTGGCTCCTAAAAAAGAATAGCTGGAGTAAGAAATTTAAGGTTTGTGTTACTTTCCCTTTCTCAAGTTAAATAACCCATGAAATAAAGAAAGGTGTCCACTTTTGATGATACATTAAGTGCTGCTCTCAAGCAATGAATCATGAGAAGTGCTTTTGGCTGAGGCTGCAATTTATCACCAAAGCTTCAAAGATGGCAATAATAAGTGATTGATTAAATTTTATCATTATATTTATTACTTTTGTTTAACACAATACTGAATTTTCTATGCAGAATGACTTTTCAACAGTACAGCTTAACAAAAAGTCCTTTGGCAACTGCAAATATGTCAGTAAGCAACTAAATTTAAGATAATGACAAACAAAAGGAGGATATTCTGAAGTGGGTAATAAGATTACATGTAAATATATATATACACACACATTAGATATATATATATATATACATATGGACACGCATAGAAAGTACTTAGCTACCTATTCAGTTAATTCCTGCTGTTCTTTCACTAATAGCAACACAATGTAAGTCAAGAAGTCATCTGTGGAATTTTGGCACAGAAAGCATTGAACATTCTTCTTTTTCTTGTTTTATGATTTTTTTTTAAACTTCCTGAATTTCAGTCCTTCATCTTTGTCTTAAATTGTCTAATACACATTCTTAATGCTTTAAATATTATTTTGTGCACCAAAATATTGCATGGTCATTTGAATAATTACTCATTATAAACACCTTATTTATTACTTCAAACATGTCCACTCTTTAAAATGAATAGTGTTTTCTCACTGAAAAGCAAATACAGCTGAGTTAAAAAATAAAAAGTATTTGTATTTGATAAGATTCAATTAAAAAAGCAAACTTCTTATCAAAAAATGAATCTTTTTCTCTCACACACACACAAAAAAAAAAAAAAAAAAAAAAAAAGGATATGGAAAAAGGAGGAAAAAAGAAGAGAAACAAACAAACAAAATCTGATTTTGATTATACTTGTCCCTTGTACACATTTTCTTTCAGGCACAGCTCTTACTACCACTAGCACTCATGGAAAATTGTAAATCCTAGCAGTTAAGTGCATTATATTCATACCTACTAACAGAACTTGGTAAAACATATAAATCAAAATTTAACTATGATCGTTTTAAAATATCTTAATGAAAAGTGCTTTATCTGTACCATACTAGAGAAAAGAATCATAAGTTGCAGTCAAGTTTTTCAAACTAAGTAACAATCTTGTGTCACCCTAAAAGGAGATACAGACTATGCTTCCAGCTTCCTTTGTGTTTAATGTTCATAAATAAGCACAATTACGAGGCATCTAGGTTAATTGACTCTGAAGTATGCTGCTGATGCTCCCTCCTATTTTAAGTCAGACACAGACAAGAATAACCCAGTTTTCTGTTTCAGTTAGTTTTCTAAAAAGTGAAAACATGGTGAAGGTAGATTTCTAGGGACCAATTAATTTTAACACAAGATATTTACAGGTTTGAACATAAAATATTTTATTAGTGAAAATGTGAGTTGAAAATTACTGTTTCGAGTCTACTAGTATTAACAGTCACTGTTTCTATTCAACTAAACATGCCCACAAAGAAGGTTGTTACTACATTTTATTGTGGAAATACCTGGTCTCCTACAAATGTTGGGTGAATTTCCATCGGAGCTTTATGCTCTATTTATGATATAATAAAGCTATTATGTTTTCAACTTTCTTTTAATAATCCTTTGTATTTATACACAAGGAACATACTACCTTTTCTATATGAAAGATGCCCTAGACTTCTTCGATTTTTATAAGTGCTTATTTTTCCATGACCACATGATGTGTTTGTATGTGCAGCCATAAAAGATTGACTTAGGATCTCAGGTTCTTCCAGGATATTTTTATTTTTGAAGTTATCTGTGCCTTAGGAATTTTTTTGTTTGTTTGTTCATTTGTTTCACTAGGTGTTGTCTAATTGTAGACAAATGAGATATTTTAGATTGTAATAAAGTATATTTTATAGTGAAGTACAATGTAAATGCATACATTTTCTAATGAAAGAAAATTAAAAAGTAGGAATCGCATGAAAACACTTCAGGTTCATATTCTAACATATTCTAATTCAGGTATCAATAGCACTTTTAAACTATGTAACTTATAAAGTAGTTGTGTTTAACTAAAAGCTTTTGTATGCGTTATTTGAAAAGATTCTTTCTGTTCATCTCTACAACTAATACAATACAGGCTACCGCAGACATTCAAAAACACATTCAAAGAATAGAATTCTCAGTTTTACATTCCAGTATCCTTTTTTACACTTTACAAGAACTTCTTCACAGATAATGTAAATACCCTTCAACAATCTTGTACCAAAATCCTGCTTAAAGAGCAGTACTACTCAACCTGCGTCCAAAAGAAAAATTCAGAATATTATCCAAATAGTGGCAGCATTCATAGAATAAATGAATACTTTTCTAGAAAATGAAACATCAAAAATCAATGTTTGCTCCACACTTAAGAATTGCAGAAAGCAAACATACTGCCTAAACCCATCAAACACATCATGACATTGGCATTTGAACAGGGAGCAGACATTACCAATGACACAGAAAAAAACAAAAAAACAATGTATGGAAGAAACAGCATAAACGAACTTGCAAATCATTTAAGCAAAGAATATTGTAACGCATAAATTAACGCATACATTTAAATGAAACCACATTATAAAATACAGCATTTGTATGTTTTCCTTCAGCTGCTTGCTTCCACTACCTGAATTGAAATAATGAACTGATAGCTGAAGTAAGCTTTGTACTATTTTGCTTTATTATCATGAACACACATACGTCAACAAAGCCACAGAATGCGGAAATAAAGCCTAACTAGAATTTCCATCTTAGAAGCAGACTTTTTTCATTAGAAAGTGCTGCTTTAATTATTTCTTATGCTATAAGCATTTCCATTTACTTCTAATCAAGGTATAAATTAATTCATATACAAATTGCTGGTCTGATAATTTCTCTCCGCCCTTCTACTTTCCCTCCAACATCCTGTTCCCAGTTCACTGATTTGCCCCAGATTCTCAGAATTCTCTCACAGAGGCATTCAATATAATTTTGGAGGTTTCTAGTGGCTTTGGTAAAAGTCTCTTAAAATAAAAGTTAGAAGTATTTTATGCAAGCATCAGCAAACAGTATGGGTAGATTTAGAATTACTCTAGAAGAGTAAGTTAGTCAATCTATTCAAAATGAGAGGTTTTGTATCTTTTGGCAGGGTTTGTTTTTTTCCTGATTATAGCTAGATTTTGTTTGTTTTTAAGATGGAACTTACCTTTTTCAACTGTGCTTCCAACTTACTACACTCTTCTTTCTTTTGTTCTATGGCTATTTCTAAAGACTTAAGTTTGGAGTCTCTTTTCAGCCCTGCTGATGCCAATGAAGATGCATGTTCTTTGAGATCGATTAAACTAGACTGAAAAATGACCAAGAGCAAGAAGTTAATTCCTAGTCACCGGGACACTAACTTATTGCCATCTTATTAATCACTTTGATGCTGTTCCCCCCAGTTCCCCAAAAAGAGTTGACACAAAGATAAGCATTTATAGCCAAAGACAGTATTTTAAGAGTACAACTGACAGAACCACAGGAGCTGGCATATAGTGAAACACAGAAACATTCATAATACAGGCTAATTGACATTATATTCTGGAGGTGCAATTATTTTGAAGTCTATTGATCTGATTGACAAGTGAAAACAAGCAACAATGTAATCTCTGAGCCTTCTGGATGCTTATGGAGAGGGAAATGTAGAGAAGACAATACACATCTATGCAAAAAGTGAAGCAATATTTTATGCACAGAAGTGAGGACTATGAAGAATGCCTAAGAAAACAGCAGTTCAGAAGCTGGCCATTGAAGTAGCAAAATTTCAGTACTTTAAATGATTCAAGAGTAATCCTAATGCACTTCCTTTCATCACCATGACACAGAAGAATATAGATTTTATTGTGAAGACTGACCTCTTTTTCTGTCAGTTCAGCTTGTAAAGCATTAACTTTCTCCTTCAAGTCTTTGTTTTCCTTTTTATAAGATTCAATTTCTTCAAGTCTTTCTCTGTCATCTCGCTCCCTTTGCTCCTTCAAGCGTTCTATTATTCTTTCCTAACAAGGGAAAGAATAGCAAAATGCAAAAGTTGGGTATCATTTTAAGAAAAAGTATAATAAAATTTCTTTACATTAAGTAGCAATTAGAAAAAACAGCCTTCAGAAACAGAGGAATATTAAAGTCTATGATATTGAAGTCAGTGGAAGATTTCTTCTGTCAATAACTCCAGATCAAGATTTAAAATACTTGTTGAGGGTATCTGCACAGAAACTGCATTAAATACGTATGCTGCCCTGAGCGTGCCTTATGTTGTGACAGACACAGAAAGTTATTCAACTCAGTAATGTATTTGCTGTATTTGTAAGTGATTGAAGTCTTTGTATGTAAGTTCAAAACAGAAAGGCATGACTGGTTTGCTCAGATTGAGTTTGGTTGTTTTGATTGCTAGTAGCCTCTACACAGGCTGCAAGATGAGTTTTAATGACTCCAAATATAATCAGAAATCAATCACTGTAAGTTGTCTAAAATGCAGAAAAAATATCCTACCCAATTTACGATATCCATTCTTTATCAAATTGATAGTGACTCTGCATGTTTAAATTCAGCCATGTTTTTCAATATTTTGCTGACTTATATTGGCTATAAGGACTGCTGAAATCACCCGTTGGTAACTGGACAATTAATTTTAAAAGGTAAATGCAAAAAATTAAAAGCGTTAGTATGGGTTTTGTTAAGTCTTGACTATATTCATCAAAATCACTTTCTACCAATCCATTTGGCAAAACATTCGGCTTCTCAAAGGGATGTTAATCTATTTGGAATTTCTAATATGTGTCACTTATTTAAAAGCTAACTGTAGACTCCACTGTATTTGCAATTAAGCATGTTTGGCTTTCAAGTTCAATTTCATTTTTTTATAGTTCTATGTTCTTACTTTAAATGTTTAAAAATAAACTTCCTTTTGTGTTATGTCTTAATAGTAAACAAATTATTATGTGCTACAGGTTGCTACAGATCAAATATTGAAAGCAGACATGGAGTATAAACAGAATATAGATGTAAATGACAAATGTCATTTGCTAAATGACTAATCTGGTTTTGGACACGAAACCAGACCTAGGTGCAAAATATGTTCTGTATTGGTTCCCCTTGTAGAACCAATTCAATTCAAACATTTATGCTCCAAATTATTTTTTTTCCTTCCAATTATGTAACATTGGCTATCAGTTGTTATTCTTTGTTTTACCAATATTTGGAATAAAAAGCACATCACACATGTGTTATAATGTTGTATATTATTAGGAGTTTTTAAATAATCAGATTAAGATCTTTACTAAATATCTATGCCTATGATTGCAAATGTATTTGGAATCTCTTCAATATATCGGAAGACAATCAGCACTGTATTGAAGAATCTTGTAATATGATTACTGGAACAGTTATTTTGTGTTGCTGAATTCCTGAGGAAAACCTTTTCAAAAAGCTGAAATCATGCTGCTGCTTTCTTTCTGTATCCAGTATTCCCCTGACAAGAGGAATTCCATTCACAAGACTTAGCTAGCGGAACATACCTGCTTAGAGAATTAGCATTACTGTGAAAATCTTCGTATAAAATAGCAAAGACTGCCATATTTGAAAATCATAGCCCTTTTGTTTAATTTTACTTAGAAAGAAAAATACAATGATGACATACTACGTTCTCCTTAGGGGGAAAAAAAACCCAAAAGTAGCCAAAACTGAAAAATGCTTGGCTCCGTGTAATTAAGCGTTTCCAAGGCTGTACCAACACCTGGCAGGATTTCATACGGAAATGTTCATGCACATAGATCGCTCTGAAAATAATGCCTCCTTTTTATTTCCATGGAAACTACAGCAGATGTACTGAGCACAATACCACTGTTTCATAGAGTAAATTCTAAGCTACACAACAGTATTTTTTCTTCTAAAACAAATTAAACACGCGCTTATTTCATTTTATTAATAAAATAGTATACATTTTTCTTCATTCAATCACAAAAGAAGACTGATTTGCTTGTCAGCTGCATAAAGCTAAATGTCAAAAACATGTGTTAAAAGGCCCTAATATACCATGTTTTATTTGATTAACAACTAGCTTACAGAAATCCCAACAATGTGTTCTTGTTTCAGTCTTATTTGCATTGGCAAGCTTTCCTATGCACTAATCTAGGACCTCACAGGTCTAATCTATTTGCACTTTATCACAGAAGCAGGAACTGAATTACCACAGCATATAGCTCTATTATCAGGCATACTCAATTGCTTATCTTCTGTATGCTGCTACAGTAGGACCAACTTTATGAATATCAGCTTCATGAAAGCAGCCTCTTGAGCTGCTTTGGACCAGCGCAAGAGCTGAGATATTCTTTGAAAAGTTTCTCGTTAAAACATCAAGGGAGCTGATAGCATTTCTGCATATTTTAAAGTTGAATTTTTTATTTGTTTTTTAAGAGGAGTGAATTTATTTTTGGTTTATTGCAATGCAATCTACATTGTCAAGAATTTTCAGCACCTGGAGAGTCTCTAAGCTTATGTGTAAGGAATTGAAAGAGTACATTTTTTCAGTGAGCTCTAAATGTGCTCAAAAATACCTAAAGTTATATTGGTTCACTTCTGATTCCCAAAAGAGAAAAAATGATATCAGCAATAGCATTTGAAAAATAAAGATTACAGTTCACTACAGAAAATTTTGATTAGTTTATACATCTATAGTACATCCAAGCTGTCTAATCTCATAATGTGAAAGAAAATTGGAGAGAGATACTTGAGAAAATCTACCTTTCATGAAGAGTTAAAGTCCTATTTTCTTGTTCAGAGCTTAAATCTCAGTCTGAGTACTTTCAAAAACAATGAAACATTTCCATTTTGAAACTTTAAAAAGAGCTTCATAATACTTCATAATACTTGAAGAGCTTCAAAATCATATAATTTCATTATATGATCCAGTTTTAATTTTTCTTATTTGCATAAAATAAGGAACTAAAATTAGTATTAGTGAACTCTGGTTAATTAAACTGATATAAATAAATTTCAGCTCCATTTTAAATGATCTTCCCAATGTGTTCATTGACTTTTATTTATTTGTGTACAAACTAAAATTCTGACAACCAGGGAATTTAACAATGAAGGTAAAGTCAAAAGCTGTGTGTAACATCAGACAAGATGTAGCTGCAAAATAGGTCTGATGTCATTTCTAGAGTGGGGGAAGGGATTAGCTTATAGAGGATTTAACCTGTAAAGAAATAGGGGGTATATAAACACTGGCAATCATTGTACGTCCTTAGAAATTCTGTATTGTTGAATGAAAGCAGCATTCTTGCTTGACAGCATTGCAAATTTAAATTGATAATTTACGTATTATAATTATTTTAAGATTAAGAAGTTACTAAGAAACTACAATCAAGCGTTCTTGTTTTGGGCAAAAATTTATTCTGTATTTCTAACTGTATTTGCAGTGGAAAAAGTTAATAAATTGATAAAGTCTGCTGATATTAAAAACTGAGAAGCAGCTAGGATAAACTGAAAAATTGGATACAGTTAAAGATGAGACATCAATGTGAAAATAAACTGCCAAGGTATTAATTCCAAAAGAAATAAGGAATGTATACATCACAACTCATTTAGAACTTCCAGAAGAAGCTTACTGGTTTCTTTTAATGTATAAAAATATGTCCCAGAGACTACACTTAAGATTGAGAAACCTACCCTTGAAAGCATGGCCTAAATGAAGCTTGCAGACTTACAAAGATAGCACTGCTTAAGTGACTGAAACAGTCATCAAATACCACAACACAATTCAGCTTCATGACATTTCTTAAAAGCGATGTCTTGCAAAATAATACTGTTGTCTTCATCACTGACTTTTTTTGACTTTTTTTTAAGCAAGTGAACTAATTTGTACTGAATTCAGCCTTAGAGAATCCATGCAACTTCTCCTCAACGCCACTTGGGGGGGGGGGGGGGGAAAAAAAAAAAAAGCAGAAAAAACAAATCACTTTGCTTTTAAAAAGTATCTGCTCATATATATCCATGAAATTCCAAATGAAGTAGACAAAAAATGAAAAAAAAAAAAATAATAAAATTCAGAGGATTTGCATCTAGCATTCAAAGAAAATCTAACTTTTCCAAAACAGTAAAACTAGCATCATTAAAAAGAATTTGAATCTTCATTTCAGAAATCTGAAAATTCCACAACATCAGGATCTGAAGTGTTCATTACATTTAATTTTTCACATGCGGAAAGAAAATCTATAGCCCAACTTTCCACATTGCTGTATTAAAAAATACTGCATCTTGAATTTAGTGAAATTTTAGTTTCTATAACTGAGATTAATAGAATATTTAGTTTCACATTATATTAAAAACATCTCAAAAATCATAAAAGCTTCTATACTTATTTCATTAAATTTTAGAATGACACTGGTATAAAAAGGCATGAAAACAGTTAACTTCCATCACTCACTAATTTTCACTTTATCTTCACTCAATATTTCTTCAACTTTTCTATTTCTAGTAGTAAGAAGTAGGCCAAAGATTCAACCGCATTTTCTCTTTGAACATATATAACTGAGGCAAAATGTGGGATACATGACTCCTTTGGCTTCCGATGGTGCACTTCATGCTCAAGTGCCAAGGAGAACTACTAACAAGTTTAACTCTGCTTTCTATACTGACATCAGTAGAACAGTGGTTAGAGAAGTGCTTTAAATTCTATGGGCAGATCAAGAAATTGATAACTTAGACTAATTTAGAGCAGATGATATCCAAGAAGAAAAGCAAATTAAAAAGCAATTCCTGACATTTACTTATAATATGCTGTGTCCAGATTTCTGATTTCCAAAATCATCCATATGAATTAACAGAAATTACTAGAAATGCCGTTTTTCCCCTGTTGTCTACCAAGCAAAGATGATTAAACACAAAGAAATAAAAAAATTAATCAGCAATGTAGGTGCTAATACCAACATCACAGTGACATTTTAAACTCTTATGTAGCCATGAATGCTGTCATTGTAGTACACACTGCAAAATGGCACATCATGTTTCAATTAGTTGAGCTCACCTGTGCACACTGAAGTGATATTACGAAGATCTGTTAGATGCAAAAAAAATTGAGTATTTATTTGTATTTTTTGGTTGGGTATTTTTTGCATAAATTCACTCCTCCTATACAAAGTAAACTGGTAGAAAAAAACCTTACTGAAATGGGTGGGCCAGCTTCTGTTCAAAAGCATGTAGTTTTTAAAGGGCAGGTGGAGGGGTAGGAAAGTCGGAAATAATTCTCCAGGATTCTTCTTGTTTCTCATTCAGTTTTGTTTCTAATATAAATTCCAGTTTCTGTTATACCTTAAGCATAGTGAACCAGTGATTCTGAGAGTGCCATGGGAGTAGCTGTCAATTGCTGTTGGCTCTTTAGTTTGGCTCTGTTTACCAAGCAAAATAACAGGATAATGAAGATCACAAAGCCATCAAAATATCTCGTTCTCTCCCTTCTATCAAAGGCAGGTGTCCATGCCTTTCAGTTTATGCAGGGAAAAAGCATTCCCTCCATCCAGAAAGGGAAAATTGTAATGTGTCTTGGGACATTACTCTATCCCCATTTAAAAGGATACCCTTTGATATCTCAGAATTCCATTTCACACCATCAGTCAGGAATCACTCCTTGTCCCTCATGCCAGAACAGAGCCCACCTGCTTTCCTGACAATGCCCATAGGCATCATTACAGGTGCCAGACCAACTGAAAAAGACATTTTCTGGACATGCTTCACCTGCAGGAGCAGCACATTATGTGCTGCTGCATAAGAACACATTACCTTTTCAGATAGAGCTTCTTCTAAGGTGGCTAGTGCTGTGTCTGTGTTACTAGAATCTGTCTGCAATGACTTCACTCTGTCCTTTAAATTAGTTAGTTGTTTGTCTTTGTCCCTAAGTTGCTCCTGTAGATTTTCAATCTGAAAATAAAAACAGATCATAATAATCATAAACCTTGTCTTACCATTCCATTAGAAAACTGGGCAATAGGAGCAAAGGAATGTGTACATGTTATACATACAATACACATACTTCAATATACTGTAAATTTATTTGTTATATAATACGAACATTTTAAACTTATATTCTCTGATTTGTTGTCCTTTGCTATAAAATAACATTTTCTAATAAATTAAAGAAAACAATATCAGCACAGTCAATCATTTTTTTATTTAAATATTTGTTATTAATCACTTTAAGGTACTGCATTATCTCAAATTCAAAGTAATTCAAAAGTATGTGTGGAATGGTCCCTTTAGATGATTCTAGCTGCAATAAGAGCAAAGAGAGCGGCAAAATTCAGTTCCTCAGTCCCAAATCAAGGAATAGGTGATAAAATAACCTACCTACCTAACAACAACAACTTCTATAATGCCGTGCTGTAAAATAAATTCATCCACACAGATGTCAGAGTGTTTATATTTCAAAAATCAAAACGAAACAAAACAAAACAGAAAAATGCAAAGAAGTCCACACTTTCTTTCCCTTTTATTTAACACCATGAAGACTTAAGTTGTGTTTCAGACAATAAAACTACTTAAAGCAGATCTAATTCTTCCTATAAAACTTCCTATAAATGCTGCTTTGCAAGTTAGAAAATTTTTGCTCAAACAATTGTCCACAAGGACCAGCTGGATCCTGGAAACAAGCCTGAACAAATGCACTCAGCTTCTGATGGTCATGGCAATCTTATTCCATGGCTGTAAGATACTGTGATCACAAAGCAGGTAAGGCAAGCAATTTTATTATTTGTGTACAATTTTATTAATTGTGTGTCAGTAGAATCAACCTCCCTTCTTGCTGTGCTCTCACTAATACATCACTGACATAAAACCTAAGCTTGCTTGATAACATTTAGCACAAATAGAAACAAATAATCAAAATACGCCTACATCTGTAAGGTAAGAGTAAGAACACTCTGTGAATGCAGAGCTTCCACTGTCTGCGGTGGCAGTCTAACTCACGAAATGTGTTACAAAAACTGAAATGAAAAATTGTGCCAAATCTTATAGGTATTAAGTTATGTTCCAGTTCTATAAAATACAAAGATGCACAAATGATTTAAGTGACTCCCTGTTTCTGAAAGAAAGGTTCTAACTGGAAGAACCTCTGACAAGACAGAACTTGAAAACTTAAGAAGTATGTTTAACAGATAAATGGAAGGTATATGGTTTCAGCAGACATGTTTATCAATCTATTGTCTTGGAATAAACAAATTAAATAACAAATGACCCTCACAAAAGACACATGGTGCAAATAAGAACCGGCTCCACAAAGTTTATGAAACTCCATGGGAGTTTACAAAGCAGAAGAATATTGTAGAAATTAAATACAGCATTCATCACTTTACTAGTTCCGCCCCCCCCCCCCACCTTTACAATACTTTGTTTTGATTCTTATTTTCAAAGATTTTATGAATTACAGCATATGGAAATCTGGGTCACATTCCCATGTCTGCAAACGACCTTGAGAACATATTGAGGTCTCTTGACTTTAACTGCTCTACAATATATGATGTATAGAAAAAGTTTAAAATATTCTATTTCTGAAGTTTTTTCATATAACATAAGATCCTCAAAAAATGCATTAGAGAAGGAGCACAGTTGTCAAAAGGCATACAAAGTGTTATCACAGAGCATAATACAACCATGCAACTGGTTTTCTTTCCTGACGTGGATTTAAACAAATTAGGAAACACTATTTTCTTTCAGAAGACATTACGCTATAGGACAGCAGAGCAGGAATCCAGCCTTCACTGATATCAACGCACATGCAATCCCCACACTTTCTGGTACTACTACTTTTCTAAGTACTGCCTTACTGCTCCCAGATCACACTTTCAGAAGGTATAACAAAAACATATCAAGTGCTGTGACTTTCAATGATAAAAACAGATGGAATTGAGCTGCTTCGTAGTTCTGTCTGTATGGACTGATCTTGCAGCATCAGAAATTTTGACCAAGGCTCTCTCCTTATCAGCCTTGATTTCTCAGTGGTAATCAGTCACAGTACAGAACAAAGCAAGTGGCTATGAATATCTATTTAGCTAGCAAGCACTCTAAGCCACTATGCAGAGAAGTAGTAGCTTCTGGATAGTACCACCTGACTGTATAAATTACTGAGAGTTTCATTAAAAAACTGAAATAAACTCATGGCTTTTCACTCTCATACAAAGTACAGAGCAGTTTGGATTGTAAATTGCTGCTAGAAGTTGGAGAGTGCTGTAGTTGCAGAACATTTTCTAGATATCAAGAGCGATCTTCCAGTTTTACAGACAAATATGGAGTCTAAAATAAGGAGGAAACTAAAAATGGTACCAGATATGCATTGCATCTCTTCATATTTTACATTAGATATGTTTGTTACATAGATCATATATTTATATGGATTGTATACCTATACATAAAGACATTTTAATGAAATCTTTATAAGTAAATCTTAATCATCATATATTCTTGATCAGCCAAGCAATCATGGTAGCCTTCCTATTCCTGTGGTAGTGTGCACTCAATGCACCTTCTGCATAAAGTTGAGCACTTTTTTTTTCCTTATGACAATGTTTAAATACAGAAACTTTGAACTCTGTAGAAGAGCTGTGAACAAATGACTGTCTTCAGTGTTAGAAGAAGTGGATAATATTCTTCCATCATCCCAATCAAATGATCTCAATGAATAAGAAAAGGTCATTTCAGCAAAAACAATCTTCCTATATCCTGAAGATGTCAAAGATTAGATAATTTCTTAAGGTATGGTCATTAGGAAGGATAAAAAATAAAGATGAAACTGAAAAGATGGTTACAATACTTATTCAAATTAAACATGTAGTGGGACAACATATAAACACTATGAGATAAGTCACTAACTTTTTCTGTTCATTTCATAAAATAATGTTATTCTTCTCATGGCCAACATTATTTCCATTTCAAGCAATTCAGACTTAAACAGAATCTGGATTCTCCATAATAACTGTTAAACTACATTTAAAGATTCTGTTACAAATCTGAAGATGAATTCTTCACACGAGCATTTTCACAGAACTCAAAACTTATGACAATAGAAAATTTGATCCTCACATGCAAAAAAACATATCAAATAATTAACAAATTATCATGCCTGGAGCACAGCTGTGGGTATTGTATGAAGTTAAAATAAATTTTAAAAGAAAAAGATTAAATTAAAATAAAATTTGAAAGTAAATTTAAAGGAGTAGATTCCAATTAGAAGGTGTTTACATCAGCAAGAAAAATGCAAATGTTGCATTTTTTAAATTACTATTATATACATACATGGTCTGGTATGTCAGATTACTACTCCAGGGAAAATTATTCCACTTGTTCTGTAAGCTATAAAACATTAAGGTATATTTAGAAACGGTTTGGTGAAAACTTGGCATAGAATAGTTCTTGTAAACGATCTCTAGTAATATTTTTCTTCATGTGTATGTTTTATACAGATACAGAAATAAGATACATGTGTTAATGAGTTAAGAACTTTTTATTTTATGGCATGTGTATTAGTCACATCTAAAATTACATTAACTGGCATTCAGCAGACTGCACACTGAGTTTCTTTCCTTACTTTCATCCAAGTATTAATGATTCTAACAACTGCCTCGTGACACCCTGTGGAATATCTGAGCAATTGCACACTTCAGTTTAACCAAAATAAATTCTCGAGCAAAGAGGAAATAACACAGGAGAGTGAATATTGATTACATGTTTTCTGAACCAAAGTTAAGATCTGGTCCTTTATTATCATCAGCTTGACCTACCAATTCTAGGCACCCTAAATTAAAGTACTTGTTTCCTACGCACAGTGCTTATCTGAATTCCACAGCATTTACACTATTTCCTTCCTCTTAAAACTAATTTAAAATATGATCCAACCCTTAACCAAGAAAACATGTTCTAAAATTATTCAGCATTTACAAAATTCTTTCCTCAGAGGTAAAGAGAACAGGCAGCAAATTAAAAACATCCCCATTGAATCACAACTGCTTTAAAATAAGTCAGTTGATTCACAGTCCATAGATAAAACCAGAGGAAAGGATCCGATTATTCTTCTATTTGTGCTATATAAATCTGAAGAAAATACATTGACAGGAACAGGACCACATTGAAGTACACACGGGGAGAGGAGAATCAGTAACACAGTTTTTGTTTGTTGGGATAGGCATGAGGTTGGCAAAGATCTGCTAACACAGACAAGAGTTTATGTCTAGTAAATCACAAACAGTTCTCTCAAAAAGGCCTCATTACAGGAAGCAGAGACTGAGCAGCCTCACATGCTAACATCTTGGAATACCAAGTATGAGTGAGTTCCTCTTGGGCTTTTCAAACCCGGAAAGAATAACCCCTCAGGTAACCTCCGTCACCCTCTAACAAACATTGGCAGCAGGCATACACGTTAGAATACAATGCTATTCCCGAATAATAACCTACTTTGAGCATTTGTTACAAGAACTACTACAACTTTATTTATCTTCAAAAATTTATATTCTTATCTGATAGGAAATGAGTTTCTGTGTAGCTTTGCCAACGTGTAATTTTTACCTGTGTAAAGTGCCACGTATCTGTGCCACGAGCTGTATGAAAAGCACCCCTACAGATAAACATCTTTCTTATGGGGCATCCTGTCAATGAAAAGCAAGTGCTAATCTTTTGGTGACGGTCTCAGAAATGGTTCTTAAATGCTCAAGGGATTAAGTTAAATCTCACCGACAGATTTTAAAACTATAACTCAAGTAGTAAAAATGAAATTATTTTCATTATCAATTGTATGTACATGTGTTTGTCCATGCATAATTTCTAAGGAAATAATCATCCTTAGTCTGAATGACAATTTAGAATGAAAAAAACTGAAAATATTTTTCCCTATCATCCATGTAAAAGATATTACTACCTTAAAACTCAACAGACAT